CACTGCGGATTGGCGGACTTCACATACCCTTTCGAACGGAAGGTTCTTTCTTGTTATAAATAATTTCGAAAATGTACAGATTTCGCGATGTTTTCCTTAACCGCTGAGCACGTGATAAGCCAGCACTTAAAGTTAACAATTTCATTGGTGCCGGCACCGGGTATCGAACTCAGGTTGCTCGAGTATATTGAATTAATGGAGAGCGCCCGGACACTGAGGGCTGAGTAATAAAGAAATTCGCACTCCATGTAAAACAAACCGATGCATGCTGCATCATAATATCTGAATATCATACACAATAATATATATCAATATGACGAATATAATATATTGGGGATTGAGGTCAATCGCCGGTAGTTTAAATATTTAATTTATTTACACTGAAAACTCAATCAACTACACTGAAAGCATATAGAAATCGATTTGCCGCTCAAATCCTCAATTATTAATAAAAGTTACGCGTCTCGACGTGAGATGCCATACGTTATCGCACCAATCCTCAAAACAAGTATAACTTCAAAAACAATCGAATCGGGCACCACCATTTTTTTGAAGTCGGTTCAAAAGGTTTCCCACGATTTAAAAACAATTGCCCAGTCCACAGTTTCGGCGATCCGGGGCAGTCTCATCGCGCGACGCGTTCAGCATTTAAGTGTGTACCGACACCTGTTTTATTTCCTATCTGTTGTACGAATGGTCGTTTTTATTTATCATTCCGATTCATTTATTCATGCGGGCTGTGGTTTAACCGCCACGCTAGCTCGCGTCGGGTCCGTAGGTCGAATTCGAGGTACCCGACTAGGTCATTTGGAGCGAGTTTAGACTCGTACATGAATCATGGACAAAAATATCTTTAAAACTGTAGTAGGGCCACGCAACAACGTCTTAGCTGTTGCACGAATGGGCAGATCCGTCCGGATACGTAACACGATCTCACAGTATATCGGCATAAAATGGAAATGAGTTACTCTTGCGTTTCGTCTGGTGAGTGAGGTACCCCGAGCCCACTTTATTAAAAGGCGGCAACACATGTGTAATCACTTAACACCAGGTGAACCGCCAGCAAGTTTGTCACGTTTTAAATAATAAAAAAATATTTTCATTTGTCTCTCTCTGATTCTTTATCCCATCTAGGTGGGGTCGGCACAACTTACGAGTCATGTAGATAATGGTACTGGCTAGGTCGTTATTAATGGCAAGCCGCCTACCTGACGTCAACCCTACTTGGGGGCTTGCATCCAGATCGGTGGGTTACTTGTCCCGTGTGGGAATCGAACCCACGAACCGCTGGGCTCATGCAAACTGTGCCATCAAGTCATCTCTATTTCTGTGCGTATACATTATTCAATATTACGATCATGGACTGTCAATATTTTGTACAAACAAGACAACGACAAAGTGCTGTAATTGTATCGGAAAGATTATTTTTTTCAATTATTACATGCTTTACTTAAAATAAACATCACGGAGAAAGTGTATGCACCAATCCGAACTGTCTTGGATTCATCTTCTCCATAAAACAAAACAATCTAATATCACCAGGGCTGAGGTATGCTTCTTATATGCAACGACGTATAAAAAAAAGTTCTTATTTAATTCATTGTTAACTGTTTATTTATTAATTTTGGTTAAATTTAAAATTAACTTTTGTAATGACGTTTTCATTTTTTTTTGCCCAAGAACTAGCCAGTGCTTAATTGTTACACCAGATGGTAAGTAAAGATGTCATCTTAGATGACAAACACAGTAACACAGTAAAGCCAGGACTCCTGCAGACACACATACGGCAGACGAACTGCAAAGAATTTAAAAATACTCGCACTAAAATTATTCTTTACTGGGCATTAGTTCGCAGTAGTTTGGAGTACTGCAGCATCGTGTGGAACCCGACATGACATATATATTAAGCGGTTAGAGAGTGTTCAGAAAAGATTTCTATGGCATTTATCCTATAGTTGCAATTTAGCAAAAACACTACCGAGCTATGATGACCGGCTAACATATTTTCGTATAGCATCGCTTTAACATCGAAGAAAGCAGCTTGACGCCATGTTCCTGTACAAAATAGTCAATGGTTATATTGATCCTACCAAGCTGCTACCAAGTAATTTATTTGTATTGATATTTTCTCAAACAAATATCTTAAATTTAAAAAATATGTACGTGAAGTCCTTAATTTACTTAATTTTCTATGTTTGTTTGGTTCACGTTTATATTTTGTTCTTTTGATCTTTTTTTTTAATTTTTGATTACTTTTTTTGGATTTACTTTTTTTTTGTTAACATTGATGCTGCAAACTTCATTGTACTCACTATTCGCTGAGTTTTTATCTTTTGTTTAGTGTTTCTTTTTGCGCACAAATAGTTTTAAGTTCTTGTGGTGTTAAATTTAAAGCATAGTGGTTTGCACCTATAACTGAGATGGCAATCACCAAGCTTGTTATTAACATTACCTATAATTTGTTTAAATTTGGTGTTCATCTTGTTGGTGTAACAAAAATAAATAAATAAATTAATTAATTAATTTGAAAGCTAGTGCTTTCCACGTGGTCCCATATTAATTTCATTGGTATTGGATCTTGGGCTTCGGAGATACTTAGGGTACTCCTAAAATGAATACAGAACCGAGATATTTGAGGTCAGTTTTGTTTTTCGTTAGTAAAAACTGGATTTGTACTGACAAAAGGAACCCAAGCCGATGGTAGAGTGGCGTCCATTCAAAATTGGATGTTTCTTTATTTCAATAGCCCCGCGATAATTGTTCCGGTAATAGTGCGTTTTCCACGTAACATTCTGCCATGAACAAACAAGTTGTCGGAACGGTTGTCGCCAGCATATTTCGTATGATGCGACTCAGTGTCTTCCGCCACGCACAACCAAGCCGTAGAATCAATCGTTGCCAGCGGTACTTCTTGTGTGACTTAGGGACTTGAAGAAGGCAGCCTGATCCCTCATCGAAGGCCGGTAACACGTTTGTGACTCCTCTGGTGTTGCAAGAGGCCATGGGCGAGTTACACTTGCCATCCGGCGACCTGCTCTTTTGCCCCCTTTTAGACAAAATGGGGATTAACCCACCCTCTGGCGCACGAGTCTGCATCACCAACCTCTGTACCAATCGGTTCGACTAACTTAATATTTGATTTTAAAATTTTTATGTTGCCAATCTTTGCAGTTCAGGTGAAACGCTAAAATTGGCATAGAATTGATGACGAAGTTCCTCGCCGCAGCGGGAATCGGACCCTTTGATGACTCCGTGGCGCAGTCGCCAAGGTAGTCGCCTAGGCGTCGGGTGTCGTGGGTTCGATTCCCACACGGGACAACTATTTGACCCACGGATAGTTGTTTAGCATCTGGTTGTTTGTCTGCGTGAAATTTATGTTTGTAAACAAACGTCTTTACAACACAGGATAATGTTATCCTAAAGTAATGTTTTAAATATTAAAAAATAAATAAAAAATAAGTTTCACATATTTTAATCACTATTTGATTACGCGAGTCCACATAAGCGTTCGTTAGCGAATTAATTAGCTCTGAAATCGCTTCGCGGTAAACCAATTAGCCGTGACAATGGCGAATCGATAGGCAATCGCGCCGTAGAGCGACGGGGGAAACCCCGAGGTGCGGTGGCGCCCAACTCGCGTTGCTTAATAAGATTTGCCCGAACCAAATACGACTGAGCTACGCAAGATGTGCGCGGCGGCCGAAAGGCTGCGCGGTCGTTCGAAGTTCGATTACTGACCAAGTTTCTATACTCAGCTCATTTATGAACTTTATTGTACACGAAAGCTTTGAATAAAATGTTTTAAAGTCTGTAGGGTGATTTAGCATTTGGCTATGTTTAACATTGAAAATATGAAAGCAATTATATGTCTCATTGCTGGGCAAAGCCTCCTCTTCCTGTGTATAGAGGGCATAGTATACCGCGCGACGCAACTGTTGATTGAGGGACTTCACGTATCTTCAAAATATTTTTTTTGTCCTACACAATGCGTCCCATCACCGCTGACCACGTGATAAGATAGCACTTAATATTGCAACTAACAATTTCTTTAGTGCCGGCACGGGATTCGAACTAGAGTTGCCTGTAATATACTCGATATTGAGTTAAAAACTAGCGCCTGGAAAGGGATTACTGATAATTAAACACAATTCGAAGTGTATCCCTTATACATAAAGTGCAATATGCTGTGTGTTAAAAATATCATCTATCTTGGTTAAATCCAGCAACAAGCTACCATTTCTAACTACCTCGTGGCCATAAAGAAGACAGATAAAACAAATAAGTTATAAGTCATGCATATTTGTAATAATTGAACATATAAATTCTTCGAGTGTTTCGTATCCGGGGTAAAGCTACCGGGTTGGGCTCGCGAAAAAAAATTAAGTTAGCGCGGGAAACCCGCGAAGTGCCGCTAATGCCGGATGCACTGAACCGTGCGCCGCACGCCCCCCCCGAAGGAATGGCCGCATTACTGAATTCGACCGAATCGATCAGACCATTCTAATCGTTCTGACCGTTACCATTCGATCGTTCTGACCGATCCAAGTCGGCCGTTCGAACGTCCCGATGCCGTCGTCGTTCGTAAATAAGTCTGCTCGCGAAGAGAAGAGATTTTTCAAACAAGATTTTTTAGTGTTGAGTTCCCGTCGTTTCTAAAGTTTGGAGATCTTGTATTAACTGATGTTAACGATTTCAGTCTCTATTAAAGCTTCATCGAACGCAGATGGAAGTTTGGACAAAGAGGTGTTTGACGCCCTAACGTGGTGGTTATTACCGTCGGCTTTTTGGCCATTTGCTTTCTGGGCTATTTTTTAGAGAAGATTACGTGCCTCATGAGGTATTGTACTGTTTGTGCACTGTTTGGATTCAATTAAAGAAAGAAATAGACAATTCGGTATGCCCCGTAACCGCCATTATCATCATTCTCCTTCCTTTTATCCCAGCTAAATGTGGCATAGCTTGTGAATCACGTTGTTAGTGAGTTGGTTATCTATTTATTACCAGACTGACGACAACCCTCCTCGTAAACAAACACCCAGATCCAGAACCATTGTCTGGGAGTCCAAATACTTATACCGTGTGGGAATCGAAGCCACACCCGCCAGCTCCAAAGCCGACAGCTCAACCGAGCCAGGCCGAATCAGGTCCTCCCCGTAACCGTGGATGCTGTGAAGTATTTTAAAACGTTAACAATTCAGATTTATTACACTCGTTAAGTTCTTTTGTACTTTGTGTATAAAATTTTCAATTGATCATTGAATTTTTTTAAAGTTTCAAAAAATTACGAATTTATCATCCCCATGTTGCGATAGTGCATGTTTTGTTAACTTCTTATGTTTTGCAGCTAATTTCCTTGATCGCCCACGCTTACCGAGTTGTACCGCATCGTGATGAGACAGAAGAAATCATGTCAAAGGCTATTTACACGAAATAGGAGCACACCAATTTACCAATTCAGTACATTAAACTGCTGTCTAGCCGTTATGGAACTGTCGGGCCCCCGCTATTTGTTTGGAATGCAACGTAGTCTGACGCCCACACGATGCACTTGTAGGAGTCTCAGTTTATGCCCGTAAAGGCATAATCTGCCGCTTGACCATACTGCAGTTAAATAAACTTCACACAGCTTCGATTTCGTTTTGTGTAAGTGGAAAACTAGATATTTTGAAAATTGATGATTTCATTGGTTTATTGACTTATTGTTTTTACGCTATTGCTGAAGTTTTAATGACACTGTTTTACAGTCCCGTGACCATGAATCCTGCAGAAGATGGCTCGAAATAAAAGTAAAGAGAAAAGTAAAGTGTCAGCCTATACATGTCCCACTGCTGGGCAAAGGCCTCCTCTATACAGAGGGTATCAGGGCAAAATCCACCACACGGCCCCGCTGCGGATTGGCGGACTTCACATATCTTAGAAATATTTTTTTTTTATTATTTCGAATATATGCAGGTTTCCTCACGATGATTTTCTTCAGCGCGGAGCACGTGATAAGTCAGCACTTAACGTTAAAAACTTCATTGGTGCCGGCACCGGGGATCGAACTCAGGTTGCTCGAGTATATTGGTATAATAGGTCGTTCATGGGGCAAAGTGTGCGCATGTATAATAAAATCCCACAGTCGATATTAAGTCTGCCACTTGATGAATTTAAACGGAGAGTTTAAAGGAAACTTATGGCTAAAGCATATTATACTATTGCTGAATATCTTGACGACGCCAATTTGTGGGGTTAATACTGTTGATACTCACGTAGGCTAAAACAAGACTATTATACCTGTAACATTATATTGTAAACTGATCTGAAAAAGAGCAACTGTTGAGTTTCTTGCCGGTTTCTTCTCAACACAAACTGCTTTCCGAACCGGTGGTAACTTACGAACATGTTAATTTCCTTGTAAAATTTCGACGTTTCATAAGAACGCGCAAGCATCTATGTGAATGAAGATATTTTATTATTGTTATTATTGAATTAAAGGCGAGCCCCCGGTCACTGAGCTATCACGGCTATCACGGCCCGGAGACTGAGACGCGTCATTAAATATATTTAAGTTTATTTGGCTTAAATATAATTAATGACGCGTCCGCAGTGGCATACGGTGCATGTTTGGATATTCGTAGCACTTACAATAATAATGATGTGTTGGTGCGTTTGCTTTCAGCCAAAATAAATGTGGGCCCTATAAACCCGCCAGAATACCACGAGCTTCGCGCTGCTCTCGTTAGAGTTTATTTATTTATTTATTACGACTTTATTTTATACTATGTAGTGATTTATTAATACTTTATTCACAAGTACATAGGCGGACTTAATGATAAATGCATTATTTTCCAGTCAACATTAAGTGGACTTTGTCTAGTTATATGAGAAAGTGTTTAGGTTTATTACTTATCATTATAAATCGTGTATACATTTGTCTACGATACTCCCGCTATAAATAATTTCTTTTTCCCGCCGTCTGAAGTCACGCTCCTTTCGCCAAACACGCGCAAAATACAGCAGCCTTGTTAAAGAGCAGTCGGTTGTACAAAAAGAGGGATTCCCAAAAAAATCCCCTTTGTGAACTTAATAGCCCCCGCTTCTAACAAAGGGGGCGAATGGGCAAAGTATGAAAGGAACTAAGGAATTGTTTAAGGCGCTGTACTTTGAGTCGGCTGTACCTACTTTGCGAGCTTTTTGCTTTCAGGTGCGGTGTAACTTTTTCGAGGATGATCATTTCATCGCGCGTCTTTAGTTTGTTCCTCATAGTGACTGTGTCTTCTATAGCATGTTGCAACCAAACAGCTTTGATTGCATTTTTACCAATAGTCTATAAATAACTAGCGTCTAGCGACCCGCCTCGACTTCGCACGGGTGCAATGTATTATACATATAAACCTTCCTCTTGAATCACTGTATGTAATAAAAAAACCGCATCAAAATCCGTTGCGTAGTTTTAAAGATCTAAGCATACATAAGGACAGACAGACAGGGGGACGACTTTGTTTTATACTATGTAGTGAGATGTGGTGAGCATTAAAATATATCGCGACAGGCAGTTCAATTCGTTCGGTCATCTAGGGTAACAAGGGTTCTCAAATTATCATAACATAGTGTATCATTGTAACTAGATCAGTTTTGTAATAAGGTGTTGTAATAAATTCTATAATCATTTACCTCATCATAACCGGTGTTATGAGTTAGCCATAACAATTACAATACTTTTATCACGTTTGACTTAAGTTTTAAATTACCATGTTCAGAGTAGACTCGAATTCTTCTTTGTCATTGTTTGAACGTGTGTCATTTGGTTTCAAAATAATGAAGTGAAATAACAGCGTTTCTTCTTTTTTATCTTGTATCTTATATTGAATGATGCTTTCAGTTCCGAGACCATTAAAGCTTCATCGAACGCAGTTTTTCTTTATCAATGCAATTATCGTGAGGTCTTGCAGCATTGGTGTGATTGAGTTTATATGATTGATTAGATTGGAATTATAGTTCCAGGATCCCAAGTCAATGGCAACACGGAACCAGCTCTACAACGATCATCTTACATGTCGCTAATTGCAGACGCAATGTTAACCTGTATTGAGGAGAGCCCACATCTATCCACCTTTATTAATGTCAAAAATAAAAATAAAATATAAATACGCAAATACTAACTACTGAATGGATTTTAATGAAACTTTACAGTAACATAGCTTATACATCAGAATAAAACATAGGCTATAATTTATTACATATTTTTTATGTGATAAATCAATCTTTCGGTCTGAATGTTACACCTTCAGCCTAGTCTAAGCAGACGTAGTCGCGGGCAGCAGCTAGTAGGAAATAGAACCAGCCAAGTGCAAGTCGAACTGGTGCGCAAAGGGTTCCGTAGTAGTATCTAGTCTGTAATTGTATTTATATGAGAGCTTAGACAGCTCAGAGGACTACCTTAATTGGCGTCAACTGTACGTACGCTTTAATTTTCATCTTTTTATACATATTTGAAATTTTTCCTTTATTTGTGCTGGGAGACCTTGCTTTTTGTCAAATGTCGTGATTCTGGCTCCATGGGAACTACCATATAGGTTTTCGACCCAAAAACTCATAGGGTACTTCCGGTTGACCTAGAATTATCAATTTTGGTTAAAAGCAAGGTCATGCAGCACAAGTAAAAGGAAAATTCCGAAAAATTAAATGATATAAAGGTAAAATTCGGTACATACAAAAACCATAATTTGTCCATATCTTTTTATCGTATTGACTCAGGACCTTGATACACCTTATAGAGACTATAGACCTCAGCATTTGTTATAAATTTCACTTGCCAGGTCAATCCGTTCCTGAGAAAATCGGTGTCACTACCGATTTTCTCAGGAATGGACACGGACAGACAGACGGACAAGTGAGTGATTTTATAAGAGTTCCTTTTTTACCTTTTGAGGTACGGAACCCTAAAAATTACTCGTACAAGCAAACGTAAAGCTATCGAACGAATCAATATTCGCACCACAACTATTCTTCACAGATAACCACGTGCAAATGTTTGTTTCAGATCGCAAGATCTACGTCAAGGACACCTCTAGTTCTCACACCAGCTCTAGTAAACTGCGAAAAGCAAATACTTGAATGTTCGAAGCGGGTGCTACGTGTACACCGAAATGATCAAGTGAAGCCAATCTCAGCGAGTGTTTAGTAATACGGCATTACGATATGTTAGATCGTGAAGCAATTGTGTGAAATTTAATTTGGAATTTACAGTGTTGTGCTAGTGTCTGCACTGAAAGAAATTAAATTTCGACAGCAAAGACATCTTTTTTATGTAAGAAGATGGCAAGCGAGCTGGCGGTTCACCTGATGTTATTGATAACCGCCAGCCATGGGCCTTTGCAATGGCCGTAGGGTTGCAGATGCGTTGCCACCTTTTAAGCCCTAAGTGATCTAAAAAGTGGGTCCCGGTTCCCTAACTCACCAGACCAAATGCAGAATTTTAACACTTCTACTTCTGTGAGGTCGTGGTACTTCCTAGAACGGACCTGCCCATTCGTCTCCATCTCATCTTCAAGAGATGACGCAGGCGGTTTGTACAGAACCTCTTGTTTTGAAGATCTCCAGCGGTTATCATTGAACGATAGATGAATCACCTGCTCACTGACTTTACACCCTAAACTTAGACAAGAAATCATATAAAAAAATATGTAGTTTCGTCGCCCAGCCGATTCTGTGGGAAAAGGAGCAAAATTAACTTTACTTTACGAGACAAGTGCTCCGTTCCTATTAAGGAACGGAGCACTTGTCTCGTGTCAATGAAACAGGACAGCGTGGCAACACTTTAACCTCTCGCGGTATCCTGTATATCTCGCGGATGGTAGCCTATGCAAGTTAGCGTTAATTTAGTGGAGCGAATAATTGATTCGCGGTTAGAACAGCACGGTGTACAGGCCTTACATCGGCGTCAGCGCGCCTGATATTAATTGGCCGGTACCGACACGGCTTTCTCCCGCTGCGAGTACTGCGACGATGACGCGGGATTCTGGGGGACAGTTCGAGACGCCTCTTATGCACCAGATGATTCCGGATTTACGCTCATCGATTTTTTTACACATTTGTATCGAGTGTTGTTCTTGTTATGCGACGATTTTCCACTCCGTGTTTTGATATAGTTTTAACCATGAGTTAAGCCGCTAGCCGATGACTACGTGACGCAGTTACAGAGGTGTTGGCCGCCTGCCTGATGACCCTGGGGAACAAACACCCAGATCCGGAACAATTATCTATGGGTCACATTAATACTTATCCCGCATTGGAATCGATCCCAACACCTCCAGTGCCGAAGCCAATAGTTAAGCAACCTACACCGAGTCAATCCTAGTAAATGAATGTACGCATGGTAATCGAGATGTCTAAAACACAAACGAACAAACACGACAGCGGACAGCCCACACGAAATAATGGTCACCCTAGCCCTAACCGCTGTCACACCAGCGCGACCTCTGACGGCCGCCGAGCCGACACCGTAACTCGTATCACAAATTACAGCTCACGAATGACGCGGAGAATATTTTACAACTCCTCACAAGGTGTAACGTTTGATCGTTTAATAGATGTTGAAGAAGGCGTGCGGCTGTTAGTAACCACTGATGAAGAATCCGTTATGACACTAACCAGTTACAAGTGAATTACGTCACGAAATCCGAGGTAACAAATAAGTTGCTTCATAACATTATCGTTAGTTAATTAAAAAGAACTTGATGATCATCGGTATTTGAAAGCTTGATTTGAATATAGAACATACATTTTTTTTTAATTTGACCGAATTCATCATTCGAATAAATAAAAAGTTTGCGTTCGTTTAAAACGTGACCTTTTAAAATGGACGCCACGTTTCACTGAAAAGGCACATTTAGCGAGGCGAGCGATGCTCCTTTAAATTTGTTTACGCGAGGACATTTCCGGGAGCGGGCCGGCGCGATAGCCTAATTATTTATTATCACAAAAGCGTACTGTTATTTAATTTGGTTTGTACTCACCCCATCAACATCTGTCCCCGCTTGGAGCGATAAAGAGCGCGTGGCCCGATTCACAAGCGGCGGGCGGTAATAGTTTTAGAGGTATCTTCAGTTATATTCCTTCATTCTTAACAATAACAATTGTGGGTGAACAATTCCAGGTTCCATGGTCGTGCATGTAAATACAGTAGGCATAGTTTTAAGCAATCTTTGGTACCGGGAAAATAAATGAAAGTTTCGATCCTATCATAAAGTTGGGTTTTCTTTATTGTAATAAGTTTTTCTTATTGTAAAACGTCTCCTAAAACTCGGAAATAAAGTGTAAAATAAAGTGTTTTATACATTTAACTAGCGACCCGCCCGGCTTCGCACGGGTGCAATGTATTATACATAAAAACCTTCGTCTTGAATCACTCTATCTAGTAAAAAAAAACCGCATCAAGATCCGCTGCGTAGTTTCAAAGACCTAAGTATACATAGGGACAGACAGATAGCGGACGACTTTGTTTTATACTATGCAGTGATACACTCCAGAGAGAATTAGAATGAAAACATTAATTAATAGTTTAAATAATACTCAAGATTTTTGATTAATTTTATTTTTAGTGCCAATCTTTAGACTCAAGATGTTCGATCCTGCGTCTTCTGGTAAACTCTAACAACGAAAAAAATTGTTTTTTCAATAATTTTTTTGAAATAAATCACATTTCAATAATTCAGATGTAAAAGCGTTGACGCAATTGCTAAACTATTGCCTCGGGCGCCGAGAGTCCTGGGTTAAGTCCTACACAGGTCAAGTATTTGTGCGACTCCAGATCAGGAACAATTATCTGTGTGATGCACAAATACTTGTCTCGGTGTAGGACAACCTTAGTCCAGACGTAAGACAGGCGGCGTGTTACACATATTGTGCCAACCCCATGAAGGTGGGGTAATGGTAATGGTTGGACAAAGAAGACAATTTAAAAGCGCACTATTTTATCTTACACTAGCTGCTGCCCGCGACTACGTCTGCGTAGAATAGGCCGAAGGTGTAACATTGAATCGAGAACTGATATATAAGCTATGTTATTGTAAAGTTTAATTAAAATGCATTCATTAGTATTTGCGTGAAAGAGTAACAAACATCAATACATACATACATACAAACTTTCACCTTTATAATATTAGTAAGGATACATCACGAATACTTTGATGCTTTTAGCGTAATGGGTCGCCAACAGAACTAAAATCATGACAATAACTTAATTTTATAACTCTGAATAAA